AGAAAACAAGAAATGTTCCAAACTAATGCAAGTGTGATTGAATGATGCAGAAGCTATTTGAAGAGGTCCCACAGTCAAATTTCAGACAAATTGGTTATCAAAAGATAATGACAGTATTAGATTATAACATATTAAATAGAAAAAAATCTGTTTTAAATACTAAATTTAACAAAGGAGGAAGCTCTTTTACAGAAGCATGCAAACCAATAAATGTAGGAGCATTCTAAATATAGAATATTTATTTTAGAAATTACATAAAATAGGGACCACCAGTTAGCATAATGGCTATGTCACTGGACTCCCATGTAGTGGACCACAGTTCGCGTCCTAGACCCCGCGTCTTAAACCCACGCCAGGCGCGTATGCATGCATGCCAAAGATACCGAGAAGAGAACAGAGGAGAAGGGATTGCGGCGTGGCCATCCCCCTGGGCGGTGATTTCTCACTTTCTGTCTCTCTGTCTCTCTCTCTGTCTGTCTGGTGAGCACACGCACCCTGTAGCAAAAAACTCTAAAAGAAAAAAGAAATTACATAAAATAACTGTTTCAGGAAGGGTTACCAGTGAATTCTAAAACTGCTGAATGACAACTCTAGAAAAGAAGACCCACTGTGCACAGCGTCTTTACGCATCACCCACATGCTGTTTACCAGGGCGGTGTCTCCACGGGGCAGCATCTCGGCCGACCCATCAAACAGCAGCACACCTGATCGTGACCCGACAAATCCAGTTTGTTGTCCGCTCTACAAGATGACAGGCATGGGTTCTTCCAACAAGGTCACGTTCGGAAGGAAATAAAAGCAAGACGGCTGTTCTAGATCAAAGGATACTACACCGACATGACGCCCCAGCCCTTAATGGGTTCTGGATAGGAGGGGAACAAACCCGTAAATGAATCTGGAGAGATCTTGGGGAAGTCCGAATATCAGCACTAAAGCAGACGATGGAGGTGAGGCAGCAGGATCCCAGGGCTGACTGCACTATGTCAGTCCGAGGCCACTGGTTCGGAAACACCCCAGTGCATGTGTGTGCGTGCCCGAATCGCGAGAAGAGAACGGAGGAAAAGGAAGTGCAGCATGGTCGTCCCCATCAGGGTGCGCTGTCACTCTCTCACGCGCTGTCTCTCTCTGGCACGCACACACTCTACCAAATTTACTCTTTTACCCTTGGTGTCAGTATGCCGAAATACGTCCTTGTGAGGAGACACGTGAGACATGATCGAGGTTGAAGTATCACAGTATCTGCAAGTTCCTCGGAAATGGCTCAGCCAAGTTAGAATAAATACGTCCGTGCGTGTAGAGAGCGGGAGCAATGCAAATGAAGCAAAATGTTAAGAACTGGCAATTTGGGCAACTGACATAAAACAATTATTATACTGTCTGTTGTTTTCAATGCTGAGTAGGTCTGACATTTTCAAAATAAAAAGTTAGAGGAAATGTTACTAAATTGAAGGCTCGGAGAGTTAAATCGTTTGCTGACATCACGAGACTGCCTGCAAGACACCAGAAATGATACCTGGCCCTACTGTCCTCCCTGCGGCTCTCTGCCAGCTCACTGGGCTGCACCAGAACACAGACACTCAGGTACCCGCGTTTCTCAGATCTGAGTTTCCAGTTGTTACTT